GTCGTGTCGTCGTCTGTAGTGTGTGTGTGTGTGTGTGTGTGTGTGTGTGTGTGTGTGTGTGTGTGTGTGTGTGTGTGTGTGTGTGTGTGTGTGTGTGTGTGTGTGTGTGTGTGTGTGTGTGTGTGTGTGTGTGTGTGTGTGTGTGTGTGTCCACGGCCGCCATGAGTCTGTTCATACAGATCTGCACATTTTCTCTTTTCCAAATCTGTCTGAAGGAGGTCAATTGACAGGCCTTGACGTTTACACACTTTGGGTGTGCTATGTTTGTCAGTATGTGTGTGTGTATTTTTTAACATCTTAAATGTTAAAAATGTGTGGGCCAAAACCACAATTTACTGTCCCACATCTCTCTCTTACGATACGTTTTAATGCCTCTGCAGACATGTGACGCAGTAATGATAAAGTGGGAGCGGGGGTGCGGTGGGGGCTTTGGTTCCCCGGTGGTCGCTGCAGCCCTGGGAAAAGGAAGTCCATACAGGAAGTGAGCTGGCTGGGCCTCAGTCCTGCATGACTGCAAACACTGTAGTCTGCCTCACTGCTAAACATGAATGTATTGAAAAAGTAAGCGCACACACACACACACACACACACACACACACACACACACACACACACACCAGTATTCCAACACATGTGTTACTGTACTGCATGTGAGTTTTTTTTTGGAACATATGCATGTGCCATTCCAGACCATTTCGTCACTTCCTCAACTTTGTGAATGACTGATATGGCTGCGGGAAATTGCTCTGACAATTAAATGCTGACAAATCAACTTAGTCATCACATCACCTCAGAGCCAAGTTATGCAGCGATGAGCAGATGTGACTACAGGAAAGAGCAGAGGCCAATACAGCAGAACAAAAGAGAGCAGAGGGTGGTGTGTTCAAATCCAATGTTATATATAGTTTTGGGCGAGAAATTTGAATACATTTTAAAGTTTTCACAGCAATATAATATAGTCATTAGAGCGATAATTATGACATCGCTAACTCCTCTAAAAACAGTATGAAACCTTATTAAAGAAGTGTATGTTAAAGTCATTGACGTTATTGTTTAGTTTTTATCGTTGTATTGAATCGGGAATCATGGAATTAAATCGTTATTTTTTTCTGGTATGTGACATTAGTAATGGAAAAGCTATTTATCTTATTAAACATTTAGATTCTTATTACACTTGACTGCAATTAGTTATAATTCAGGACTTGTAATTATGTTATATTTCTTTCTAACCTTACATACAGTGGTCAACATGACATGACCTTTACCACCTTGGTGCCCCGGTCATTCATGTGGCACGCGTGGATGTGTCTGTGTGTATGGGAACATGTGTGTTGATGTGTGGGAGGGGGGTTTTAGTTGGCTGGCTAGGTGTGAGCTCTTTGTAAGAAGTGGGGATTCAAAAGGGGGAGGGAGGGAGGGAGGTGAGCCGGGTGTTTCTCTCAGCTGCCTGCTGGTCTGGTTGCTGTTGGTGACTTTGCTTGATGAGATCAGAGGGGATCGGCTTTCAGACCTTCATGTCTCTCTCTGTCCTACTCCTCTCTCTCTCTCTCTCTCTCTCTCTCTCTCTTTCTCTCTTTCTCTCTCTTTCTTTCTCTCTTTCTCTCTCTCTCTCTCGGAAAGACTGAAGTGGAACTGAAACTGGAGTGGGGCTGTTAGTGTGTTCGGAGCTGTAGTTGTCAGAGGAGAACGTTGTGCCGCTGCTGCCTTGGAAACACTCTTCAGAGCACATGTGAGGGGAAGGTGGGGGGAAGAAGTGATAGCCTCGGGACAGATAAGCTCCAGGGAAGAGAAAGAGGGAGGGAACAAGGGAGTGAGCAGGAGTGAGAGGTGGCCAGCTCTCTCTTTCTCTCTCAGTCAGACCTGCCGGCTGCTGCTCTTCTCTTCTTCCTGCTCGGGTTCCCTCTCTGCCGGTGGCAGGCTGCAGGAGTTTGTGTTTTTCTGGATATGAACATGGACTGAGAAAGCTACACGCAGCGAGACATGAGAAGAGTCACCGGAGATTCACTGTAAGCCGTTTGTTATTTTGTCTACAAGATGTAGTGTGTCACTGCTGAAATATGTCTCACTGAAGGAGATTGTTGCTATTTCAGGAGTGTGTGTGAAAGAAATAGAGTAGCTACTACAGCCGTTTGTGATGCAGTGTGATTATTTATATGCATGTCTGAGGGATTACACTAAATCTAAACACCAGCTTTTATTCTTTAATATTAGACTCGATCAGCTGTTTTTTTATAAACCTTTGGATATATAGTCAGCATTTTATTTCCTCTGGATGTTACCAGGTACTCAGCCTCACCTCCTCCCTTTCCTTTTATTTTCCTGCTCATCTGCTGTCACCTTTAATTTTCTTAATGGGCCCCAGCTGGTGTGTGTGTGTGTGTGTGTGTGTGTGTGTGTGTGTGTGTGTGTGTGTGTGTGTGTGTGTGTGTGTGTGTGTGCGCGCGCGTGTGTGTGCGCGTGTGTGTGCGCGTGAGAGAGAGAGTATGGTGTTGTGGGGAAGAAGACACACACATCATACATGCCTCTGGTGGCAAGAAAACACACACATACACACACAAACACATGGAAATGTTCAAAAGTATGTGAAAGTTTCCGAGCAACGACACGTACTAATTAATACATGTTTATTTTTAAATTCTTATTATTATTTTCGGTTATGTTCCATACTATCTGTGTTTCTGTCTCATTAGGTTGCTTCTCTGACACTTGCATGTCTCTACGGGATGAATAAAGGTCAATTTTATATCATTTTATCTCATTCTGATTCTGAAAAACAAATTTAACCGTATTAAACTCCAACTCCCATGAGCCACCTGTCCTCAGAACGTAAAAGAACGTCTCTGCGTATGTTTGAACCAATGAGAACACGGGCAGCCGCCGGCGTCACGTCTCTGACCTGGTATTGTTTTCTCAGACAGACAGTGACGGCGCCATATTGGAGAAAAACAACCCGTTCGTTAAAACAACGAGAAAGCCTTCTAATCGCAGCAATGTTGTACCTTGATGATTACATGGAGAGTGAGTGCGGGGTTATAACTCATCATTCCCGGGGTTAGAAGCGGGTTTCAGGCTTTAAATCGGACTTATATCCCGCTCCGTTAGCTGTTAGCTTAGCGCGCTAACTGTTAGCCTAGCATCTATTGTGTCTTTTTTTTAATCTTCATGCGTCATCATTTCCCCGTCAACGAGATTTAGTCAATCTGCACGGGATTTTGCTTTTCTGTGAACCCAGCGTATCTGAGTTTATCTGTTTAGCTTCTGTTTGTTTGGACTTATTGTTGTTGTTGTTGTTGTTGTTATTATTATTATTATTATTACTATTATTATTAGTATTCATGTTGTTTATTTTGAGACTTCCGGCCCCTTAGTGCTTCCGGTTTTATTTTGAAATGTACTTTCTCTTCGTGTCTTGTTCTACTTCCTCTCCTCTGCTGACACACAGTTACACACACACACACACACACACACACACACACACACACACACACAGTGATGATAGGGACTACAGTTCCCAGCAGCCCTTGGGGCGGTGATGAAACACAAACAC